ATTAGTATCTACACTAATAAAAGAGAAAGATGCAAATTGACCATACCTCCACGACATCCACCAGCCAATCAGGAGTGAGTATCAAATAAACCCAACAAAGATGAAAGGTTAATTTGCATATGCAGGTGTTAAGCTGCCAGTGGTGGGGTGGTGCCAAGCGGTCTGGGTCCCAGGGGCGGGCGTCAAGTCCGCAGCCTCCCGGGACCATCACCAGCCACAGGAGGCGAGAGTGGCCACGCCAAGCCATGCCCGCAGGCTCCCAGGACCATCACTGGCCCCTGGAGGTGAGGGCGGCCATGCAGCTTGACAGCAGACAGCAGGGCCTGCTTGGCCATAGCCATAATGACACACAAGCAGGCAAGCGGGACTGCAGGCAGCACCCAGCAGGGCCTGCTTGGCCGTCGCCAGGGCAACCCGGGAGCATGCAAGCGCAGCTCGCAGGCAGCACACAACAGAGCCTGCTTGGCCGTCGCTGTGGCGACTCAGGGATAGGCAAGCGCAGCCTGCAAGCAGCACACCCAGCATGGCCTGCTTGGCCATTGCCATGGCGACCTGCAAGCAGGCAAGCGTGGCACACAGACAGCGCCCAGCAGGGACTGTTTTCCCATAGGAGGCAGGCCCCACAGAGAGCATAGAACCTAAGAGTGGGGAGTGGGCCTAAGCCATCAGTAGGACATTCCTTGAGGACTCCCAGTTTGGAGAGAATGCAGGTCGGGCTGCACAAATTTCATGCAATGGGCCTCTAGTAGATATTATATGACAAGTAGTATTACAACAAGCGAAGTTATCTACATTTATTTTTTTAAATATATATTTTTATTTATTTCAAATAGGAAAGGAGAGGTATAGAGGAAGAGAAACATCAATGAGCATCATTGATCAGCTGCCTCTACATGCCCCCTTTTAGGGATCAAGACCACAACCTGGGAATCAAACCAGTAATCTCCTGGGTCATAGGATGACACTCAACCACTGAGCCACACTGGCTGGGCGTTACCTACATTAACATCCACTTACTTGTTTTAAGAATTTTAGAAAGCAGAGCTCCTTTTTAAATGCCTTCCCAAAATGTACAACACTACTTTAAAAAGGATCCTAGGATTGGGGAAAGAAATATAGAAATTGTAAAGTACCTATATGAGGATATCTAAGATTTACCCCTGCAAGTTGGGCAAAGATTATAGATGCAAACATACTATTCTTAATAGAATTAAGGTGTTCAAAAAGGTTAAACATGTAAATGAAATTTCTTAGTGATAGTGGTTCTCAAACATTAGCTTGCACCAAAACTACAGAAGCATTTGTTAAACACACAGATTACTGGATCCTTCCTCCAGGAATAATGTTAGCAGGTCAAGGATAGGGCCTGAGAATTTGAATCTCTAACAAGTTCCCAAGTGATATTGATGGTGTTGGTCCAGGGACCACACTTTGAAAAGCACAGCTTTACTACCCCCAAATACTCTATTTCCTTCAAAAAGTGACACACGATGTATGGAAGCATTGCAGTAATAAATATGAAGATTTAAAAACCATTTCCAAAGCTGCTGCCAATAAGCTTTTCTTCTTTATTCTACTATCAGACTGAGAGATCACTATACAAATAAGAACGTAGAGAAAAATAGTTCTGGGCCTAACTTTTAACTAAGCTAATCAGCAGTTATTTGCAACTGAAGCTGAGGGACCCTTACCTGATCAAGAATGTGACTGATAATATAGGAATTTGAACACTGATTAGATATTTTAAAATAATTAAGAACTATTGAATTTTAGGTGTTATACTAATACTACAGGCCTAGTGTAAGAAATTCATGCAGGGGTAAGGTCCCTAGTTCTGGCCTGCAATCAGGGCCATCTTTCCTGGTTGCTCACAGCCATAGCCACCTCCTGCCACCACCCACCCCTGGTTCCCCATTTGCCATTGGATGGGAGGTCGGCTGTTGCTGCCTGCTCGCCAACACCACCCCTGCCACGGGTGGCCATCAGATAATCAGAGACTGCCAGCCGGGAAAAGGAATCAAGAGGTGGTCATTGTGCCTCATAGTGATTGATCCAGAGGTTGTTCTGGTCATTCTGCCCTTAGGGTCAATTTGCATATTACCCTTTTATTTTATATGAGAGAGACCTGGTGCATGGGTGAGGGTTCGCTGGCCTGCCCTAAAGGGGGCCCCCTGGAATGGAGTTGGGATCCCCATTGAGGGGCAGCGATCCCTGCTGGGGGCAGGGCTGGCCTGGGCAAGGGGCTACAGAGTGTCTGCAGGAGAGCCACGTCCCCCATTGGGGTGGGGGTCTCAACTGGGGGGGGGGGGCAGGGACAGCCTGGGCAAGGGGCCACCAGGGCTTTGCAGGCAGGCCACACCCCCGGCTTTATCAGAAAGGATGTTTGGAATGATATCCAGAAGATGTCTGGTCTATCTGGTCTAATTAGCATATTACACTTTTATTAGTATAGATAATTTTTTCAACAGTTAAAATGATGTCTGGGCTTTGCTATTATATAGAGGAGGAGGTAAGAGAGAGGTGTTATAGATGAAAAAGAGTTAACCATGTGTTGATTAACCTGAAGCTGGATGATGTGTATATACATGGGGTAACATCATGCTAGTTTCTCTACTTTTGTTTATGTTTGTAATTTCCTTTAATACAAAGTTTTCAAAAACAATGTTAAAAATAATGTGGCTGATAACAGAATACAGGAGAAGTCAAAGGTTGTAGGTAGAGTTTTAACAATCTAAGTAGGCAATTCCTTGAAATTTAGTCTTTTACTTTCACTTTGAGGGTAAAGTACACATTGTTAAAAATAACCATCATAATGGAAATTCATATGTATAACCAAAATATATCAGAGTAACAAAAAACAAAACTGAACAGAGTAATTACAGATTTTCCTAGCCAGCATCAAAATGGACTTCATATATATATATATATATATATATATATATATATATATATATATATATATATATATGAATACATTTTATAAAGTGAGCTAAACTGAATTGAAGCCAAAGTTGCAAGTTTTAATGTCAGCTCTACAATGTTTTGCTCTATTAAGTCTTGAAAGTGGAGGGAGGGCAGTTAGGGGTGACTTGTTCCTGTGGCGATGGTGGCAGCGAAGCTCCAGGCCCAGCAGAGAGTGGACAGCAGGGCATGGCGGCTTCATTTACACAGCAACGGCAAAGCTCCTAGGCCCCGCAGACAGACAGCAGACAGCAGGGTGTGGCAGTGAAGTAGCCTGGCCCACAGAGAGCAGAGAGCCATGGGGAGTGGGCCTATGCTGTCAGTAGGACATGCCCTGACAGCTCCTGGATTAGAGAGGGTACAGGTCAGGCTAAGGGACCCCACCCCATGCACGAATTTCATGCACTGACCCTCTAGTATATAATAAAATAATCATATGCAAATAGACTGAATAGCAGAACAATCAACCAATCAAATCATAATATGCTAAATGATATGCTAAGGCTGCTCAACCACTTGCTATGAAGTGCACTGATCACCAGGGGGCAGACAATTGACCGGTAGACCAGTCGTTATGACATGCACTGACCACCAGGGGGCAGATGCTCAAATTGGTAGGTTAGCTTGCTGCTGGGGTCTGACCGATTGGGACTGAGTGAGATTGGCCAGACAGGCCCTGGAGCCCTCCCACGGTCCCTTCCCAGCCGGATCGTGCACCAGTGGGTTCCCTCAGCCGGGCCTGTGCCCTCTTGCAATCCAGGAGCCCTCGAAGGATTACGGAGAGCTGGTTTTAGCCCAACCCCACAGGCAACTCCCCTTGGGAGGGTACCAGACACAGGGCTCATGGCTGGTAAACACTGCTGTGACATTGGGTGAGAGCCCGCAGCAGGCACTGGGCTTGGGATGAACGGGAGCACCAGGTAGGAGCTGCAGGCGGTGTTGGACTGTGGGTTTCAGCCTGATCCCTGCAGGCCACCCAGAGGGACCCCACCCATGCATGAATTCATGCACCGGGCTTCTAGTACAGAGGTTGGCAAATTCATTAGTCAACAGAGCCAAATATCAACAGTACAATTAAAATTTCTTTTGAGAGCCAAATTTTTTAAACTTCTTCTAACACCACTTCTTCAAAATAGACTCGCCCAGGCCATGGTATTTTGTGGAAGAGCCACACTCAAGGGGCCAAAGAGCCGCATGTGGCTTGCAAGGTACAGTTTGCTGACCACAGCTTTAGTATATATATATATAAAAGGCTAATATGCAAAGTGTCTCCTCAGGAGTACAACCCAGAGATCAGGAGTTTGACAGTTTGCTATGACATGTGCTAACCACCAGGGGGTGGTGCAGAGCAAAAGATGGCCCCTGCCAGCAGCAGACAGCCAGAGAAGGAAGGCCCTAGCTAGCAGTCAGAAGGCCCCAATTGGCCCTGATGGCCAACCAGGAGTAGGGACCCTAGCTATGAACAAATTTTGTGCACCGGGCCTCTAGTGTGTATACACACACACACACACACACACACACACACACACACTCTGAGTGGCCAGATTATTATGACCTCTGAATGCATAATAATCTGGCCACTCTGTGTGTGTATGTGTATGTGTACGTGTGTGTGTGTGCGTGTGTGTGTGTGTGTGTGTGTGTACATTAGAGGCCCGGCGCATGAATCCATGCATGGGTGGGGTCCAGTCAGCCTGGCCAGGGGGAGCGGACATGGGCGGTTGGCCAGCCTGCTTGCTGGTCGAACTCCTGCATTGAGGTGACAATTTGCATATTGGCCTTTTATTATATAGGATATACTCTGAGTGGCCAGATTATTATGCATTCAGAGATCACAATAATCTGGCCACTCAGAGTGTGTGTGTGTGTGTGTGTGTGTGTGTGTGTGTATGCATATGTATATATGTATATATATATTCAGAAAAAGTATGACTAAATGTTTATATAAAACAATTCTGTCTCATGCCACATTATTAAACTCCATATACAAATATTTTTATACAGATCCATCTCTTTTAAAGGATTGTAAGATAACTCAC